CTGGCGTGTTGACCCCCAGGCCCTGCCCTCACACCCTGCCCACACTGCTGGATGATGCCGGGGTGGCCTTGGTGCCGTACCAGCTGATGGAGGACCGAGGCTGGGCTGTAGATCTGAGCGAGCTGCACCATGCTCTGAAATGTGGTCGGGGGGGCTGCAATCCCAGAGCCATCTACATCAGCAACCCAGGAACCCCCACAGGTAACTATTGCAGTCAGTGGTGGAAAGTAACATTTACCAATGCACTGTCCTTGAGTGCAATTTTAATTTTTTAAAATAAAAATATATACAGTACTTCTACCCCACTTCATTGAAAAGGGAAATAACGTAATTTTCTCCATGACTTTTATTGTTTGGCTTTTGTTACTTTTCAGATTAGGATTTTGCGTCAAAGACATGTGATAAACTTTTTAAAATGTTTTGCATCTCTGAAGATTGAACAGTGACATTTTGGTTAAAGTTATTGAATGTATTACCAAAAAAGAAACAAATGTTGTTTGTCTAAAACAGGAAACTGCTACTTGATGCAAATAATAATGTCATATGTCTAATATTATATCACATTCTGAGGTAATATAAAATAAAAATGTTTTTATATTTACGTTTGATACTTTAAATACATTTTCTGAAAATACTTCTGGACTTTTAGTGAAGTGAGGTTTAAATGCAGTACTTTAACTTGTTATGTAGTTTCTTGACATGAATGTATTGGTATTTTTTACTGAAGTAAGGGATTTGAATACTTTCTCCACCACTGCATACAGTAAATACATCGATGCCACCAGTTTAAATGTCCTTGCTGTCATCACTTTGTGCATGCTGCTGTTTGTCCTCCTAGGTCATGTGCAGGACTGGGAATCAATAGAGGAAGTGATTCGCTTTGCAGCAGCGGAGAGGCTCTTACTGCTGGTCGATGAGGTGAACCGCATCTTTAGGGTTCAATAGAATACCTGGCAGTCTTCTGCTTCTTTCATTATTGTGATTAAACTCTTGGAACAAAGGACCCGAACACAAGCTGTACAAAGAGTTTGAAACTGATGTTCAACACTAAAAATGTATTAGAAGTTACAGTCAAATTCTATCGTCTCTGCCCAAAGCAACTCTGAGATATTCTTTCCTAAACTGCGCTTTTCCCCCTCAGAAAGTCGGTTATCAGAGTTTCCATCAGCAAGACATAACCAGTTAAGGTTCTTGCAGAGAAGCAAGCTCCACAAAGCCATGTCATAAGAATTGCTCTCTGACACATAGCACACATTCAGTCTATTAATGAATGAAAAAGAGAATATTTACAACCTTCCTTTGTTTATATTCACAAGTAAGGAGGAGAGCGAGCCTGAGGAAATCAGTTTAAGTGAACAGTCTCTTCATACACCATGGTGTCCCAGCCCAAAGGCCAAATGCCTGCTGCCTGTGTAGACAGAGAAACATGAAATGAGGATAATTGTGGATAATCGATCTCTTCCTTTCCCTCTGTGCACTAGGTGTACCAGGACAGTGTGTATGGACAAGGGAAAGAGTTTATTTCCTTTAAAAGAGTCCTGTTTGAGATGGGCAAAGAGTACTCAGGGACAGTGCAGATGGTCTCCCTCCACTCTCTATCCAGCGCCTGCATGGGAGAGTGAGTTCTGTCTCTTATACTTGCAATTTTGTGAGCTTGGATATGTTATTTTAATTTGATTTTGATATTGTGTTTGCTAAAAGTATCAAACAACAATTCACATTCAGTACATGCTAAGGATCCCAATGATCCCTACAGAAATCCATGGGGTACTCCTAGAAAGTATTCTGTTCTACATGGTCCCAGTGAAAAGTCCATCGTAGCAAAACTGACAAAACCTGCCGAGGAGAGAGTTTAACATTTAAAGCAAAGAGAGAGTGTAAACCGCTAAATTCATCAGGAGCACAAATGTCCAAACAGGAAACAAGTACGCTAATAACTTCTGCATCCATTTCCCAGGTGTGGTCTGAGGGCAGGATACATGGAGCTGGTCAACATGGACCCTGAAGTGACACATTTTGTTGATACTATGCTGTGTACTGATATCAGCAGTCCAGTTACAGGACAGCTTGCTCTGGATCTCATGGTCAACCCACCGAGACCTGGAGACCCTTCCAATGACACATACACACAGGTGACACGGCTGCAGAGCCTCTTTGTGCTGACACAGTATTATCATTTTCCCATATGGCAGATGTATATGTATACTGTAGGTCCTTCTTATGTATTGTGATTCTAATTACTCTTCTTCTTTTTTGAAGGAGATTCTCCTCATTCAGGCCACTTTGTCCCAGAATGCTCAGCAGGCTCATGAATTCCTAAATGATCTACCAGGGATGAGCAGTCAGCAAGCGAAGGGGGGAATCTACCTTTACCCCCGTCTGCATTTACCATCTGAGATTATAGAGAAGGCCAAGGTGGGAAAATATATTACCAGAACCTTCTTATTCATGTAACACAGTGTAGTAGTGCAATGTCATGACATTTGATGGTTAGAGGATATCACCATGCATGATGAGGCAATTTGATTTTACTTTTCATTTGTTATTATCAGGACAAAGGGCAGTTCCCAAAGCAGAGGTAGTGACATAGAATACTACAATATGTAGGTAGGAATAGAAAAAGAGGGACATAGACAAAACGAGACAAGATAAAAAAAAACAAGCATAGATTTCAGTTATTATAAATAATGTAAACAATTGTATATGTGTATAATTTGTATTACTGTCAACTGTATTTTTTGTGTATAAAAGTCGCTTTTATGAAGCCTGTCATTTCCTCCATGTATTTTTCATTGTTTAAATTCAACTTGAAACATATTTGCACAGTTATTTACTTTTGTACAAAATCCGACTGTAAAAGTTCCTTCCAGAGGGAGTTTCTCTCCCACACACGATACCTATAGAGTCATTCTGCTAGAAATAAAAACATCTACCCATCTGCTTTCAGGAATTGGAGGTGGAGGCATGCGTTCTGTACTGTCAGATGTTACTTAAAGAGGAAGGTGTGTTTTTAGGCGCAGGATGTCAGAACGGGGAAACAACTGGAAAACACTATCTGAGGTGAGAGACATGTCACATTAGTTAGGTATGTTGCATTTTCTCAAAAAATGACGATCGTGCTTTTCTTTCTCTCTCTCAGGCTATGTATCCTTGTTCCTGCTGACACCCTGGAGGAGGTCCTGGCTCGCCTCGCTTCCTTTCACCTTCGCCTCATGGACATGTGTCCTTACCCTGACAGAGGTGTGAAGGGCAGAGACATAGGGGACACATTGTGACCCAACATGAAGCCCTCTGTAAGAGAATACATGTCCTGAAAAAGGATCAAGCCATCTGCAGATCTGATCATATTTGGTTTCTTTGCAACACCGTTTGTGTAACAATTTCCCCCAACGAACAAAGACTCTCTCTTTGACACATTTTTTTCTTATGAAGATATAAAACATGCAAAATGTAAATAAAATATAAAAAAATAAAAACATATTTCAGTTTTACTAACAGATTCTAATGCTTTACCAAACATTGTATGACAAATAATGTCGTCATTTTTGTTTTTACCCATATAACTTTCCTGAAACAATTCATAAAACAGTCAAAACTCTTTCTTCATATGTTTGGTTTGCCTTGTCTTTTTGTGTAATAATGCTTGTATAACCTCAATCCTGAAAGGCATTATCAAGTTGTATAGATATTTCTGTTCAGGAAAAACTAAGCTGTATATTTTGGCTGTTGAATCTTACAGAACTGTATTCATACCACACAGAGAACAGTGATTTCCAAGCCTTTGGACTTCAGTGAAAGTTCTCCCAAGTCTAAGGAATCAGTGGGAAAACACGAGAACATTCTAACCAACACACATAAAAAACTACAGACATATTTGACAACAAAGTCCTGACGTTTTCATTTTGTTTTTCTACAACTGTGAGATTTGATCAGATCAGATAGAGCAGATCCTGTCACTGGCGAAATGGCCAAACTTAGGGAGTGTAGACCATTAACCATAGCAAAAAACCAGGCATAGATGGGCTACATATCAAAGGATATTCTGTGGGATTCCGCAGTCAAACCATTCCATCAAACACTTTTTGGTGTTTTGTGGAAGGTGCCTGCGGAATATATTGCTGGTAATTACAACTTCTTTTGGATGACAATAACAGATGTCACAAGTTTATCCACCCTCTCAGAAAGGGAGCAGTCGAAACGCCCACATTTTTGACATTTCCGCTTAATGTATTTGTTTGAGGTAATGTGTTCCTGCAAACATCAAGATATTCACTGTCAGAGCTCGCAATACAAAACTAAATTATTTGAGCTGCATTTTCTCTAGAGTGTTACTAAAATCCACATATACTCTGACCAATTTCAGACATATTATTGGATAATAATTGTTATTAAATTAATTTGTTCATCATTTTATTGTTGCAGTTGGTAAAAGAAAAGCTTTTTATTTGTACTGTTTATACTATATTTTCTGTCAGCTAGTTTTTGTATTTCAGCAAAGGGATCAAGGAAGTTAATATTTACCTATAATAATCCTCAATAAACTAGAATGGCATTTGGAGAGCATCCACACTTTGTTTTGTTGTGGAAAATATATAATAAATAACTCAAATATAATAAGTTGTATAGCTCCACCAAAAGTAATTAACAATATTCTCCCGTTTGGGTAAAATCATCTGGGTGAAAATAAACACCCAAATTACCCTGTTGGCTACACTACAACAATAATTTAATAACAAAATGATTTTGTAATTTGAAGTAGGATACAGAAGCCTACCTCGACCTTAACTAAAAGGAAAGTGTAGCCTACATAGTTACTGTCCACCAATGACTATCTCGCATTATTTCCATTATTTTCATTCATGGGTTTTGTCCATATGCAGCCTATGGTTTTGTCACTATAACTTCTGCAGTCAAATATTAGTTTGCCTCCGCTCGAGGTAGTTTGTCTGATAGTCGGTGCCCTCCCACTCGCTTAACAGGTTTATCAACGTCTCGACGTTATAATTCTCAGTGACAGGTGATCCGTCAGACAGAGATGAGTTCCCTGCAGGAAGGAGACCTCACTCTGCGGGGGACCAGAGCCCCCAGCCGGCTGCAGGCTGCACGCGGCACCGAGGAGTCAGCACAGGTGAGTCCCGCGAGACGCTGTGACTCACTTCAAAGACATGAGCCGAAAGACAGCTAGAGAACAATGTAACCGCACATTCGAAAGCTTTTTTATTTGAACCTTTGAGAAATTACTGGGGAAATCATATGAAGACGTATTCAGATATTTTGTCTAAGTTAACGATAAGGTAAAAGGCTCCAATACTAGTGAAAATAAAACTCGTGTTTTAACAGCAACATCAATCTTTCGACGGATACATTACTCATAAAAATCGTGTCTATAACAAGGTTGACAACGAGCTACGACGTCACCTACAGTAATTGTCAGACAAGCCAACACGCGCCGTCTTCCGAGCTCAACATTTGTCTCTGCAGCCCGAGGTGAGACGGGTGGAAGGGACCGTCAAAGTGCAACGTCAGAAAGACATTCTGCAAAAAGATGCAAAAACGAACCACCAAAACCACACATTACTAGTCTCCTATTTGTCATACTGCCATGTTTTGAAGATATTGATATCAATTTGGTTTATGGAGTATTGATCCGTACAGTTCTTTATCTTTACTTACCAACCTTTATACTGCGGTCAAGCCAGCCGTCTTTCACTTTTGCGTGGTCAAACCAGCCGCCCCTGTGTTTTGAGTGCGCGATTAGTTACAGGTTTACGGTAATGCAATAAAACAACTCTGGGAAGCTGGATTTCAAAGTAAAGGATGGCATGTGGTTCATTTATATTATTTGCGATTGAGGAACAGGGTAATTTATGAGAATAATTGTAGGACTTATTGCTTCATAAACTTGTTGCACAAATACTATGAACTACTTTTACTCTGTACTTTTTGAGAATGGCAAAATTCCCTCCAGAGAACAAGAAGGAGCATTTTTGTCTAACTTTGACGTGGGATAAAAAACATTTCTTCCATAAGTAGTTTATGAAACTGCCATGTTTGTACTTAGTACTTCTTAGACTACTTGCAAAAATAATATGAACTACTTTTACTGTGTACTTTTTCAGTAATTTGAGTTTCAAAGTCCCCTCCAGACAACAAGAAGGAGCATTTTCGTCTAACTTTGACGTGGGATAAAAAACATTTCTTCCATAAGTAGTTTATGAAACTGCCATGTTTGTACTTAGTACTTCTTAGACTACTTGCAAAAATAATATGAACTACTTTTACTGTGTACTTTTTGAGTAATTTGAGTTTCAAAGTCCCCTCCAGAGAACAAGAATGAGCATTTTTGTCAACTTTGATGTGGTCTAAAAATAATTTCTTCCATAAGTAGTTTATGAGTCTGCCATGTTTGTATTTAGTACTTCTTAGACTACTTCCACAAATAATATGAACTACTTTTACTGTGTACTTTTTCAGTAATTTGAGTTTCAAAGTCCCCTCCAGACAACAAGAAGGAGCATTTTCGTCTAACTTTGATTTGGTCTAAAAAACTAAGTTCTTGCAGTTTCATAAACTACTTATGGAAGAAATGTTTTTTATCCCACGTCAAAGTTAGACGAAAATGCTCCTTCTTGTTGTCTGTAGGGGACTTTGAAACTCAAATTACTGAAAAAGTACACAGTAAAAGTAGTTCATATTATGTTTACAAGTAGTCTAAGAAGTACTAAGTACAAACATGGCAGTTTCATAAACTACTTATGGAAGAATGTTTTTAGACCACATTAAAGTTGACAAAAATGCTCATTTTTGTTCTCTGGAGAGGACTTTGAAACTCAAATTACTGAAAAAGTACACAGTAAAAGTAGTTCATATTATGTTTGCAAGTAGTCTAAGAAGTATTAAGTACAAACATGGCAGTTTCATAAACTACTTATGGAAGAAATGTTTTTTATCCCACGTCAAAGTTAGACAAAAATGCTCCTTCTTGTTCTCTGGAGGGAATTTTGCCATTCTCAAAAAGTACACAGTAAAAGTAGTTCATAGTATTTGTGCAACAAGTTTATGAAGCAATAAGTCCTACAATTATTCTCATAAATTACCCTGTTCCTCGATCGCAAATAATAGAAATGGACCACATGCCATCCTTTACTTTGAAATCCAGCTTCCCAGAGTTGTTTTATTGCATTACCGTAAACCTGTAACTAATCGCGCACTCAAAATACAGGGGCGGCTGGTTTGACCACGCAAAAGTGAAAGACGGCTGGCTTGACCGCAGTACCTTTATGAAGCATGAAACCTGCGCTGGAGAGGATGTTAGAGGTGCAGGGGCAAGAATTCTTAAAAGGGCAAGCCGTTGATTTTTAAAAAGCTTTTAAAATATATTTAGGCCTGGAATCACTACTTTTAGACTTTTTACAGTCAACATTTCTTAATTCCTTACCTATAGTAGCAAATTACATCATGTCTTTTTCTAGTTTCTTAGTACTAAGTTTAAAACAGTCTTCATCCCTCCAAAAAATACTGAACAAATGCTCCAACTAAATCTTAGAAGTATATCTATTTCCCTTGTCTCCGAGTCCTTTGTGTTTATTTTTTGTTCCCTCCTTTCTCTTCTCTTTCCTCCCTTAAAGCTGATTCACACATTGCTAGCAGAGGTATCACCACTAAACAAAGCTAGTTAGCATATTTTAAGCGGCTAAATATTTAAACTATATCATCAGTGCCTCAGTCAGGATTGCAGAGTGCATGTGTATTTGTGTTTGCGTGAAATGTTGTATTCATGCATTCTTTCACCAAGGCTTCAGGGCTCGCACCTGTGACCAATAGCACCATTCTCCTGACAGAATATTTTTTATTCACTCAAGACTGTGAACAGAATATGGCTCCACATTATACTGTTAGGAAAGGAACTGTGATAATAAAATAATACACAAGTAGAGTTTATGATTATATTGGGCCAGTATCAAAAGATAGCAGACTCTTCAGGATGCAGACAAGGCTTTTTACAACTCTGTATGACGATTGGCTAAGGCACTTCAGTGTGGTTCACCCTTTTGGACTCGGGTTAGGGCAACAATGAAATGTATTGATTTGTAAAAAAATTTAAATTAAAAAAAGAACACATACAAGGAAGGCAAAAAGGCAGGTGTTCATCCCCCTTGTGTTTTCTCTTTGCATGTTCCTGCTTCCAGTGTTATATTATTACATTGTATTATTAAATTGTCCTATCTGATGCATTAACATGTCTACAGTATTTTTACTGTTATAAATAGATGCTGGTGGTTAAGTCATTTTTGTATGGGCCTATAGTTGGTTCATTTAGTTTGTAACAGTGCATCATAGTTTTAAATGGTTCTCTAAAAGTAAGTAACAGAAGTGCAATATGATCTATTTAGCTTGCTCTAAACAGCTACACCGGTCAATCCTGCTTTTGTGTTAGGCTATGACACAATGTTTTCTTCTTTAGGGACTTTTCTTTCAGTATTTTACAAAGACTTATTATTTCCCATCACTCTTCATCACATGCATTCATTTGAGTTATTAATTACAATACAAAATGTTTAAAAAGAAAAAAAACTGCATGCACTCAATGACTTCATGGTTTAATCATTTACTTTATATTATTATAATACTAAAACACTCAGGCTTAAGCTAACATGTCCTGGGTACAAATTCCCTCCAGTGGATGACATGTAGAAAATTAAAGATAAACTTGGTTAGTCTATTGCAAGAGCATTACTGTTATAGTGCAGGTGTAAGGTGACATAAAATATTGTTTTACAACCTCCCTGCAGTTATATCACACATTTCTTTTCTCAGGGAGCCGAGAAACCCTTCCAGCAGGTGATAGATGTCAGCACAGGAGATCCCCACAGGGCAGGGATGAAGCCTGTCTCGTTTGTACGGCAGGTTTGTTTAAAATTTGATCTGTGTGTGTGTGTGTGTGCGTGCGTGCGTGCGTGCGTGTGTGTGTGTGTGTGTGTGCGTGTAGTACCTCTCTATCTGTGACCAGTCTGACAGCTACTAACAGAGCCTGTCTCCATCTGTTTGTGTTCTCAGGTCTTGGCAGCGTGTGTCTACCCCAAGCTCCTGGATGAAAAAAGCCTTCCCCTGGATGCCAGGCAGAGGGCAAATACGCTTCTGGGGATCTGCAGTGGAAGGAGCGTGGGTGAGAAGGAAATACTACTCATTAATTCGTCCAGGCAACAACATGTTTCTTAGAATTCCTTTAACTGGCAACTCTCCTCTAATGGCTGATCTATAAGATGTTTTGATTGCAGGCTCATACTGTGCAACAGCCTATGGCATACCATATGTCTGTAAAAGTGTTACTGAGTTTATCATGAGGCGAGACGGTGGAGTGAGTTCAAACCCAGAAGACATCGTCATCTCCTCTGGTTCTACGAAGACATTGTTGGTAGGATGATAAAGTATCTTTGGAGTATGATAAGTAGTGGCATTTTTTGGAGATGAAACAGACATCTTAATTCTGCATTACAAATAAACGTCCATTAATTAGCTTTGAAAGTCAGCATCCTAACAATGGCAATGCTGACATGTTGATGTTTACTATGTTGATATTCTTAGTTATGTGTGTACAAAGGCTAACATTGGCTAATAAGCACCAAACACAAATCCAGAAGGTTGATGGGAATATTGTTTGTTTTGCAGGAATTTAGTTATAAAACAAACCATTGGTGCAAGGACTATTCTGACCGGCTGTCGGCACTCTTTGTAAAGAGTGTCACCAAATGTATTACAACTCAATAGGACATTGTTGAGACTTTTCACCTACAAAACTAATCGTAGTGGAGTAGTCAAAGGAATTGAGTCTGTGGGTTACATGAATGTTTGAACTTTATTTCATGGCAATCCATAGGTGGACTAAGGGGGACATTATGGTTAGGGTTTGGGTTATCATACAGATATAGAAATCTGAAAAATGCAAGAATAAACCGGAAAATGAGAATAACATGTCCTCTTTAAAGGACAATCCTCTCTAAACAAAAAAGGTGACTTCAACTAGAGACACTGGAAACCAAAAGTGTGTAAAGGACGCAAAAGACAGTTCATTTGGAGAAAAAAAAGTGCTTTAGCTTTTAAGGCCGCTACACACCAACCTGAGACCAAAGAACGCGTACCGAAGGGACGACTTTTACGTCCGCTACGTCGCCTGCGTCGGCTACGCCGCCCGCCTACGAACACACCGCAAAGACTTCAGTCGACGAGTGGCAATAACTGTCCTTACCAGCAGGCAGCGGTAGTGTATATTCGTCATTCAAAAGAGGCAACAGCCAATCAGAGTGATTTCTTTGGCCGATTCAACATGTTGAATCAGCCGCGGGAGGTGTGAAAATGTGCCGTAAAGCAACAACGGTGCGGGACACACCAACCTGAGTAGGACGGCCTCTGACTACCGAAATCGGGTATGTCAGGGCCTTTAACCTGAGTAACTGTTCTCAAAATTGAAAGAAAACTAAAAAAGGGATAGGCCATCCGAGCTCAATCAATCAATCAATCAATCAATCAAATTGTATCGATGTAGCCCAATATCACAAATGATACATTTGTCTCAGTTGACTTTATAGTTAAAGCATATGACAACCCCAGTGTTTATATTGGCCACCTTCCAGCTGAACAAAAGCTGGGGAAGCCTCCTAATCTACCTCGCAGTGGGCCAATACAATCCTCTAAACTTTGTGAGCAAAAGACTGAACCAAACCTCATAAATGAAATACCAGTGAACAAAAAACACATTGTGCTCATGCACGGCCACACAGAACACTGTGTGAGATTCTAACACTCAGCTATTTAGAAATGTATGTTGTCTTGTCTTGGCTTGTCTGAACAAACCTGCTCTGGTAAACATCGCCAAGACTTTTCCAACAGCAATTACCGCATTAAGAATACACACGTTAAAGAATCATGCCAAAACGTTTTATGCTGTGTAGTGCTGTTGCATTATCTTTATTGTATTCTTAATGAATGTGTTCAGATGGTTCTGCACCTGATGGCCAATGGGGAAGGGGAGACTCGCACAGGTGTGTTGACCCCGATGCCCTGCCCACACACACTGCCCACACTGCTGAACATGACTGGATTGACTTTGGTGCCTTACCAGCTGTTGGAGGACCGAGGCTGGGCTGTAGATCTGGACGAACTGCACCGGGCTCTGAGAACCACTAGGGGACACTGTTCTCCCAGAGCAATTTACATCAGCAATCCAGGAAACCCCACAGGTAAATGCGAGCAGATACATTGACTGATCTCCGAACTGCAATCATTGTTGCTCAATATTAAATGTACTTCTAGGTCATGTGCAAGACAGGAAATCAATAGAGGAAGTTATTCGTTTTGCTGCAACCAAGGGCCTCGTCCTGTTGGCTGATGAGGTGATTACAAGCTTAACAGGGACACTGATTATTAAAAGTTGTTCCCGATTTCAAACAAGCTCCCTTTTTTCTTGTCTTCCTAAAACCTTAGATGTACCAGGACAGTGTGTATGGACAAGGGAAAGAGTCTCTTTCCTATAAGAGAGTCCTGTTTGAGATGGGCAAAGAGTACTCAAAGAAAGTGGAGCTGGTCTCCTTCCACTCATTATCCAGCGCCTGCATGGGAGAGTGAGTGTCTTTATAGAGGACATGTTATTCTCATTTTCCGGTTTATTCTTGCATTTTTCAGATTTCTATACAGTATCTGCATGATAACCCAAACCCTAACCATAATGTCCCCCTTAGTCCTTCTGTTCATCTACACATAATTATCTTTGCTTTGCTTAAGAGCAACTCCTTTATGCAATGAAACAGAGGGCCACACTTCCCTCCTTACACATCAAGTAATAATCATATCAAATCTACATTTAGATTCAAGACATCCAGATAAGGTTCTCATCTTATTGTGACATTGAGGCAGCCAGAGCCTCCTCACATGAGGCACGCCAAGGGTGAAATTCTCCATGCTTCTTAAAATATATATTTCTTCATGTGTGATAGAAATGTTTCCCAACACACTGTGTTTACGTAGGTGTGGTCTAAGGGGAGCGTATATGGAGGCAGTTAACCTGGACCCAGCTGTGATGAAATATTTAAGAGATGCGCAGGCCCCTTCCAGCCCTCCAGTTTTACCACAGCTCGCTCTGGAGGTCATGGTCAATCCACCCACCCCCGGAGATCCTTCCTATAAAACATATTCACAGGTATTGGAAAAACAAACCCATGTTTTCTCAAATATTCTTATATAGTTATATAAATGCACCACATTAATAACTCTATTGTTAGCCAAGGAGGAACACTGCTCAGTCAGCAGGATATTTCCAAAAACTGTTTTAGTCAGGTCATTTCAGGTAGTTTAACGTGTAACTTATCTAAAAACAGGGCGGATGAAGGCAAAAACAATATGGTCACAATTTAGTTGAAAATACAAAACAATGAGCTGAAAGACGCAAAAATGCGCTTTGCTGTAGAGCTGCGAGAAACTGCAGTATGGGGCTAGTTTTGGCCCAATACCAAACCAACCCCTACACCCTCCCTCTACTCACTTCCACTCCGTTTGATGGTTGCGTGGAGAGTCAGCTACACTGAGTGCTGTTCCAAACCAACAAGTAGGGAGTGGGAGTGGCCAACCAAAAGTTAGTCAGCATCTCTTACGACTAACCATCTGCCTACCTGACCATGTGCAACGCTGTTTGTGTCCGTCATGTAACACGCTGTGTACACAGAGTTCTGTGCTAAAATGCATTAGTAAAATGCACAGATATAGAAATTTCACATTGTCATACAGATGTTAAAACTTCAAGGTTACATCATAATCTTATTTTATATTTTGGCTTAAGATCATACGCCAGTGTCTTATCTTGAAAAAACGGCAGACGTGTGCATGTGATAGTATATTTATAGTGACTGTTGCAGAAACGAAGCAGCTCATAAACATCTGATCTAAAAATTAAACACGGTTTACAAAAAAATGGAATGCCACGATTGATTGAGTTTTTATAATAATATATGCTCACCATGGTTAAAACCTCTTAGGCCCCACGGACCCGGTTCCGGGGCCGAAACCGCGTCATTTGCAGGAAACAACGTCTAAGGAACCTTAATATTTAATAAAATATGAATATTTTATATCCATATAACGGGAAAAAACTAATTTCACTGATCTTTTTCATTTTTTTTTTCAAAA